ATATGAATATGAATATGAGAGAGAGAGAGAGAACACTACATGCAAGTCTTTTCATCCAAATGTTGTGCTGGTTATAGACTCCACATAAGTTTTAGATTGTTCATTGGTTATGTAGTAAATTGATCATTCACTAACTTGATTTGAGATGTACCATCCCCTGGTCCATGATAGTATTATTGATAGTTGATTTGGAGCCCTAAATAAGATGGTTAAACTACTATCTTCAGGACTCTTGATGACCCTGCAGTTGTCTAAAATTTGTCAGATTTATTTTGCATTTCCCCAGAGATCCCTCATTATAAAAGTCAGGTCATGAAGAGGTGAAAAAGACTTTGATAAATAAAATACACCCTGAAAATTCAGGGAAATCTAACTGAATTTTCAGTAAATACTTTTGTCAGAGAAAACCACTGAGGGAAATGAACTACCAATCTATCAGAAGTAAGATTCCGCTTTCAAATCTATCATGACATAGGGATCGAAGGAAGATCATAGTTTTATTACTAGGAGGACAAACAAGCATAGAGGGAACATGAACTCCATAAAAGTTTATGTTTATCCATATCATGCTGGTGAAAATCCCACACTTGTGCAAATTTACATGAATTATGGATGATTTTATCTGACCTTACTCTGGTGTTTGAACACAAATTTCAGTACTTACACTTACACATGAGGCAGCAGCCAGCTCCCCAGTTGCCGGCTCCCCATGCATGCTGACTCCCACTTGTCACCCCATGCTGCTGTCTTCGTAGCAAAGACAGCAGTACAGGATGGCAGGCAACTCCATGGGAGCAGCATGTAGCCATTTGGATAACTGACAAGCACGATCTTATTGGTTATCTGTTTAAACAGCTACACTCTTACATCCCTACTAGCAGGCTCTTCTTGTGTTGAACAAACAGATTATTTCTTAGAGACTTGTTGATCCCCCAAAAACATGGTATCCTACATCAGGTTTGCATGATAAGAAAGACTATTCTTCTGATCTTCAGTAGAATCTCTAGTTCTTTAGAAAAAGGTAATAGTGAACAAGGGCTCCCTTGCTCCTAACTACAAGTGGCTACTGCTCCCCATTTCAATCTAGCAGGTAAATACAGAGAATAATTGTAGGTTTGCTTGGAAGTCGTTAGATCTATCCAAAGATGGCCAATATTACTAAAAGAGGAGACAGGAGGGGGCAATCTCAATCCATAAAATTCATCCATTCTTTGCTTAACCAGCCAACTGGGATAGTATTCTCTCAAATGAGGGAGTTCAGATGGGCAATAGTTTTTCTTCCTCTGCTTAAAGGCAAACGTAGGCTCCTTGTATTCCTGTGTTTGGAAAGGGTGCTTTCCAACCTTCCAGACAGGTATCAATTGGTTATCTGCCTTGCCTGGTTTAAAAAAAAATGTAAAGGCATTTGACAATCTGTTCCTTATCAGCCACTAGTTCAGAGTCTTAAAGCTCTGAAGAACTCTTACTGTATGGATGATTGGGCATCTTTAGCATGAAAGAGAAATGGCAAGGAAAACTTGACACAAGTTAATGTACATCTTGTTTCTAGCCAGTATGTCTATCCACAAAAGTGCAAAGAATTTCACAAAGGCCTACAGAGTATGTTATTTCCTCACTATAATATCCTCACTGGGACTGAGCACAATATACACTCAAACTTATTGATAACTACACTCCCATAAAGATGGACTTCATTCTCCTTTTCTCTTGGCTTATCTGGATGCCATACTCTTAAGAAATGGGAAAGCACATCATCCATCCCGTGAGGAGTGCTGAAAGAACCACAGTCAACCGCTGGTGTCACTGAGGCAATAGATGGAATTTCTTCCATGAAGTTCCCACTCTAGGAATTGAAATCCCTGACTACAAGGCGATCACCCTATTTGAGAAGCCTTTGGCTGCTGGACATATGTGGCAGCTGCTCTGCAAAGATTACCTGCCAATGTTCCATACATGGCTGAGCTACAAAGATAGGAGAGTATGATGCAAGTGCACTGCAGTGATTAATCTGAAAATAGAAAATCACCAATCTCGGACCCACTCTGGAAGAAAGGAGAGGAACAGGATGAGTAGTTCTGCCTTAAGTTTTCTTTTGCCTTGTTTGCCATTTTTCTGTAGCATTCGGGTAGCAGAGCAACAGGTTAGCAGAGCCTCAAAGAGAAATTATTTTGCTGAAATGCACTCCATACTATTTATATTATAGTTAGGAGCCAAAACTAATAGCATTACAAATAAAAGGGCTTTTTAGCAAGTAATTTAGAAACTTCTTGAATAAGACTCTTCAGTTTTAACTTGCAGATTTAAAACTAACGGAAATAAAACCTGTAGTAGTTAAATCTTCATCTCTTTGTGTCTCATCTTGTGTGTCTATCCTTTTGTTTTTAATCTCTTCCGAGCACGAACTGTACATTTATTTCTCCATTAATATACAACTGTACTATTTTATATACTTAACAAAACTACAATATGAAACTGTAAAAAAGACAAAATTTGCTGGTTTGCATAGACATACTTCATTTTTCCATGAAAAAGTCATCCAGCTTAGAATTGTGGTAAAAGCAGGTTTATTTCAATTTGATTAATAAATTAAATATTGACCTTTATTACATAAGATGTTGAGACTAACAGGACAAAACAGACACCCAAAGTAACATTAATGAACTCATGCAAAACAAAGCACTAAACAGAGAACATCTGCAAAAGACATTCAGTTTGCAAAATAGGGAAGTTTCTGCAACATGCTAATTATCCCTCACACTAAGAACGTCCATATTCTAAATGTGGTTTCTTTGCAGTTTTTAAATCATGGCAAACAAAGAAATTAAAAATAAAATCCTGCTGCAACCAAATTGTGTGTCAAAGTCATCAAATTTCAACATAACTTGCTAAGAGACTAAACCACCAATTACATTAGTGAACTCTCCACAACTAAAAAGATGCCCTCAAATGATTCGATCCAAAGACAGATCAAATATGAACAGATTTGTACTAGTCACAAGTGGCTACTTTTAAATTTTATGCTCTACAGACTGTAATTTTTTCATTTTAAGAAGCAAATTAGAGATGGTCAGCTCAAAGGAAACATATATAATATTAAGAATATTCTGCTAATACTGAAAAATATTCCTCCTCACCACCAAATTCTGTTACTATAGACTAAAAACCAGGATAGCTAGTAGTCATTCATCTGCTTCACATGGTTTATGGCTCATCTGAAGAGATCAGAAAGGCAAGACATTCTTATTGTTAAGGAAGTAGGTTGGGACTCAAGTGGTCTAGGTTTAATTCCTGGCCTGCCACAAAATCTGATGTTTGAATACATCAGTCTGTCTCAGTTTTCCAATCTGTAAAATATAGATTATTCTTCTCTCCTACTCTGTGTCTGTCTGGTGTAAAATAGACAAAACTATTTGGAACAAGGACAGTTTGTTACTATTTGTTTACAAATTGCATAACACAGTAAATGTTGGCGGAAGCCTCTAAGAACTACTAATTAATTACAATCACCACCTGTTGGAATACTAATTAACACAAATCCTGTTTCATGCAAGTGCAATTCAAATTGAAAATATTATACAAAATAAGGCTGAAGATCTGTTCAATGTCCCATAGTAAGCTTCTGGTCCAGTGGGAGCAGAGCCCATGACTGATTCCCATCTTGCTCTTATCACTAAGCAGACCACACGTCTCTCTTTAGAGAACAAAGTTGTCAAACTAGAGAGTCATATTTTAATGCTCTTTTTCTATCCATGTAACAATATAATCAAAATATTGTTTTTAAATAGCATATTTTACCCAAACATTCACAGTCAACCTATCTTTGGAAATTAGTTGTACACTTTAAAATAATTTTATTCTTACCCTGTGATTTCCTCATGTCTTTTGTGGCTAAAGCACGATTCCCATGCTGAACACTGGTAAAATCAGAGTTGGTCACATTGTTAACTCTCAGCTCTTGCCCCAACGACTTCCGACCATAAGTATTTTCCCCAGATCCTCCATTGACATTGTAGCCACCTGGGAAAAAAATTGGTTTGAAATCAGAATGTTCCTGATCTCTCTATTTTGTATCAGGTTATAAAATGTTTCAATTTTAATTTCCATTTCAGCCTAGTAATAATTTAATTTGTGATTTGGTTTAATTTTAGATTTTTATATGCACAAGTGCTTTACTAGTTCCTTTGAGTTCCTGGGTCTTTTGCTCAAAGGGACATTGTCAATTTGAAATTTTAATTAATTTTAAAGCATTAGATTTGAAAAATTCAGGGAAAGCTTTGTTATCCGGCAAGCTGTTAACCAGAAAACTTTGTTAACCAGCATTGCCCCCTTCCACAATACCGCTGTTTCTTCAGGTGCACGTGCCTGACTTCCACCTATCCAGCCGGCTGTTGAAGAGCTTAGGACAGCTGGCACTGTCTGCTGACATCAGCAGGTGCCTCCTTCCTCCTCTGCCTGCCTTCAGGTGCTACAAGCCGGGAGGGAGCGGAGGAAGAGCAATATGTTTTATTATCTGGCTCATTCAATTAACTAGCACACCCCATTCCCCATGAGTGCCAGGAAACAAAGCTTCCACTACCGTATGTTTGATATTTTTTTAAAATCCCTTTTAAAAGATTAAGGGATTTTTGCTCTTACTTAAGATTTAGAAAGGTCTTCTTGGTGGGCCTGACTGTAGACATGCTTAAGTTCCACTCATCCTCTGTTCATCTGTTCCTTGCTGCCTAATTACTTCTAGTTCCAGATCTGCTACTGCTATTAACCTGCAAACATTACCTTGTGCGTTCTGGGAAATAAGTGAGAAAAACTGAGAAAGTTCTCTAGCCTTAATTATAGAGATGCTAGGCGTTATTTGTAAGAATAACTTGTTCCATTCCAGATAGAAATGCGATTTTTAAGATTGACAATGTCCCTTTTAAGCATTTATCAATTAATATCCTCACACTTATCTGGGGTACTAACAGGTCCATTATTTGGAAAAAACACTTAAAGATATGGAATAGTTTAATTCCATGGGTTCTTGAACTGGGTGTCATGACCCCTCAAGAGATCATAAGCGGTCAGCATCCATCCCCAAACAATGCTTCACATCCAGCATTTATAACAGTGTAAAATATGTTTTTAATATGTTTTTAATTTAAAAGGGCAATGGTTGCACTTATCTGCCAGCTATGTGAAAGGAGTCACCAATATAAAAGTTTGAGAATCACTGGTCTATTTTAAGTGCATGCCATATATTTAAATTGGGAACACTTCCACTAATAGTAAAATAGAACCTAAAATGCTGTCATTGCCTTAGTTCAACAAAATTTTTAGGATTTAACACATTCTTTCCTAATGGATCATGTTCCTTAAAAGTTTGCATATTTCCAATCTATAAAAAGACCTGGAAGTTAATTCAATTCTGATTCACCACTAACCAGCCAACCCAAAAGAAAGAATCTCCTCATGTTACTTGCACAACGCAGGGGTGTTCATACTCCCCTATGACAACCAAATACCACTGTCTCCATGAAAGAACCAGTTCTCTATGAATGTACATAGCAAATGGAAGAAACCTTCTGTTCCATCATGTTTGCTGTATCACTGTTTGCTGGACTTCCCTCTGCCCAGCTCTCCACAGGACTGCAGGGCAAAAAATAGTCTATTGAGCCTTCAAAATACTTTGACTGGCAAGCCTTTTAACATACAGTCAATGAGAGAAGAACTCCATCTTCAGAGGGGTGTTAGTCTGAATCTGCAAAAGCGGCGAGGAGTCCTGTGGCACCTTATAGACTAACTGAAGTGTTGGAGCATAAGCTTTCGTGGGCAAAGACACACTTCGTCAGATGCATGTAGTGGAAATTTCCAGAGGCAGGTATAAATATGCAGGCCAGAATCAAGCTGGAGATGATGACATCCATCTCGTCATCTCCAGCTTGATTCTGGCCTGCATATTTATACCTGCCTCTGGAAATTTCCACTACATGCATCTGACAAAGTGGGTCTTTGCCCACGAAAGCTTATGCTCCAACACTTCAGTTAGTCTATAAGGTGCCACAGGACTCCTTGCTGCTTTTGCAAACTCCATCTTGTCACCTAGAATTAATAGGCCCTCTCTCAGCAATACCATTTCCACAAGCTCAACTACCTAACAAGATAAGGAAGATGAAAAAGGAATATGACCATTAGGGATTCCATCATCTAGCACCAGGGTGGGCAAGACAGCCTCTGCAGGCCAAATTGAGACCTGGGGATGGGAGAGCAAGCCAAGTTACCTCCCCCCACCAGGGGCCCGATGCACCAGCAGTAACTGCCAGCTGTTGGCAGTTCCCTCTAGACACTGTGCGCGTCTTGCATGGTTGGGGCAGGGAGTAAAGACTTCACATACTCCCCCACCCTCAGGCCCTGATTAGCCTGGGAGTACGCAGTCTCTTCTTACCACTAGAGGTGCGCAGCAACTAAAGTGAACTGTCAGCTGTTCAAAACAGCTGGCAGTTCTCTTTAGCCACCAAGGGGTGGGGGACAAAGACTTCACATGCTCCATCACATCCAGGCTAATCAGGATCCATGGGCAGGGAAGCACAGGAAGTCTCCTGGCCCCACTCTTTCTGCCCAAGGTCCCGCCCCTTCTGGGGCAGCCTGGGATCACTTCAGAAATTTGTGAAGTGGCCCCACTTAAAAAATGATTGCCCACCCCTGAACTACAGGCAAAAATTACTGTCCACCCCAAGCTACGGCACTTGGAAAAGGGATGTCTTTTAAGACTGCAGGACTTAGGAAATTTAAAAACTGAAGTCCCAATGATGTTGAGAAGTTGAGATGAAGTGAGTCCAAAAAGCAATTGTAAGTCTTTTCTCCTCAAGTAGTGCAGCTGAGATGTCAAACAGACCTGTAACATCCTTACAATTGAAATTATGTACAGTATATTATGTAATGATCTAGAAAATTATGATAAAGGATCATCTTTTATTATTAATTTTTTTTGATCTACAACACGTCTATTTTTTCAGCTCAAACAAAAAAACGTGCGTCACCAAGGCCTTTTTGCCATGAGTACAGCAACATTCCACTCTAGTAGAATTTCCTTGTTTGATAAAGGCAGTTTGAAGAGAAATAAAAACAGGTGCAAAAACCTACAGATATCTCCCCACTGGATTTATGACTCATTACAACAATCTATAAACTAGTAACCCTTCTTTGTCATATGACTCTAATGCTGTGTCTACACTGCTATTTTCAACACTAAAATGTTAGTCATTCAGAGGTGCAGAAAACCCCCCACACACCCCTGAGCAACAAAAGTTTTAGCACTGAAAACTGCCAGTATGGATAGCATTTTATTGCCAGGAGCTGTGCTACTGTGGTGCTGCTGTTCCAGGTGGGGATTTTTGTTTCATCACATCCTGGGAGAGGTCTCCCCAGGCCATAAAGCATGACTCCTGTTCCCACATCACAGCACTGCTGTGGCCATGCTATAATGCGAGCCCTGTAGATGTTCTCTTGGTGTTAACTGGCCACTTAGTTTTAAATGATCTCTTAACTCCTCAGACCTAACCTTCTATTTAGTTGTGACACTGAGAACCTTCCCCAGATCTGAATAAAATTTTCGTCTCTTTCACCAACAAAAGTTGACCTAACAACATATTACCTTGTCTGTTTCATATTGTGGGACCAACATGGCAACAACAATACTTAAATTGTTATATTTATAATAGTTATTATGGTTAGAGGATAATGTACCACACTAAAATTCAAGACTAAAAGCAGGTTATTTAATTGAAGGTGTCAGGTAACATCTGAATTCACACCAAACTGAAGCCACTTTTAAATGTCCACCTTTCAAAATATCCATGTTGTTATACAAATAAAGAGGAGCAAGATATGGGAGGAGAAACAGGAGGGGAGGAAAGGGCATGGCACATAGAGCTCCTTGGATTCAGAAGGGCTAGTAGGAGGGACAGATTGGTGGAAAAGCACAGAAGATAGTGGGGTGATAATACTAAGCCAGAGGCTGAATGAGAGTAGGGTGCAGACACACATGGGGACAGGAGCAGGTGGGGTAGCTGAGTAGAGTGCAGGAATACATGGGAATGAGGCAACTGTGCCTGACAATGGGAAAGGTTAAGGAGACAGCCAGGGTCTGCATTGGGGAGGCTCACCAACTCCATCACAGCACCTTCCCTCTCAGCCCCAGAATAATTCACTATGTTAATATTTCAGCGTTGTTTATTTTAGCAGAAACATGCAGACAACATTCTGTGCAACACTGGAAATTCAGGCAGCACATGGGGAGGAGGGGTAACTAGCTGCTGTGAAAGGTTATGGAATGAACTTTCAATATCCTCAAATCAAATTAAATGCTACCTAGCTGCCTGTAACAGAGGAAAAGGGGAAATATACTCCTTTCTGCTTACCAAAAGCTACCTCCTGGACTATTGCTCAAGAGTAGCGTATGCGATCGCTCAACTCTCTTGTTACAGGGTTGAAACATTCTAGCAATGGACTTCCAATGACAAAAGAGTCAGAATTGTGAAGAAACAAGCTATTTGTGACAATTATCTGTCTATAGAACAGGCTACAGGTTGTACCTCCCTTAACTGGGACTCCATGGTCCAGCAACATCCATAATCTGGCATAGGCCACAGATGTTCCTGGACCACAAAACCTAGGAACAGGGAGGTCTGGCGGCTCAGCCAGGAGCCTAGTGTCAGAGGAGGGGCTGTGTGGACAGGCAGCACAGCAGGGAGCTTTGGCCCCAGCGGAGGCCAGTACGGCAGGGAGCTCTGGCCTCTGCTGGGGCCAGAGCTCCCTGGCTCAAGCCCTAACCCTGGCTCCAGAACCAGGTGGCTGTGGAGCTCTGCCCCAGCTGCAGCGCTCCAGCTGTGGTGCTCCAGCCCTAGCAGCAACAGGGCTGGTGGCATCTAGAGAGCCCTGAGGAGCTAGTGCAGCAGCAAGGGCAGGCTGTACCCTTAGTCCAGCGGCAGCATGGGCCATGAGAGGTTGTAAAAATCTGTTTAATTACTTACCCGGTGAAACATGATGTTTAACTGGTTAACTGATTAAGGCTGGAGTGCCCTTGACCGTAGCAAGCCCTGCAGGGTTGGCGCAGCCTCCTGCCTGCAGCAGCCATGAGCTGTTCCAGCCTCAACCAGTTAATCAGAATCGTAAGCATCTTCTGTTAAGGGTGATGCTTACTGGGAAACCTTTTGCATCCCTAATGTAAACATACCCCAAAACACCACTAGTGCAGGGGCGAGCGCCAAAAACAAAACTAGACAGCAATTCTTATAATAAAACATTAAGTTCCTAATGTGGATAAGAAAGTGAAGGTACCTTCACTTTTAAGTCTAGTGAAACCAAATACTTCCCAAGCCCGATTTCCCAAAACAATGTATTTGGTCATTTCCACAGTAGAGCATTTCACAAAGAAAGAAGTTAGATAAGTCAATGACTATTTTTCCTAACTCATACCCCTTCCTACTACAAAGTCTTTAGTGCACACGAGTGGAATCTATGCCTGCTAGTTAATCCACAGCACTGATGGGTTTTAGAATTCAAACTACTCTAGTGCATGCTGCTGTGCTATGTAGACAATAGGGATGTAAGCGACTAGTTGAGTAGTCGACTACCTGATAAGCATATGCTTATAGGGTAGTTGAGTCACTACTTGACTAGTCGCTCCCCTCGGAGCAGGAGCCAGTTTAAAAGCCGGTGTCATTCGCCCCCCCCCCGCAATATTGTCTCTATGTGAGGCAGAGGCGCAGCAGGGGACTCAGCTGTCCCAGCTCATGCCTAGTCCCAGAAGCTGCCTTCTGCTTTTGAAAGGTAGCAAGAACAGTCCCCACTCATCCTGGTTTCCCTGCTGTGCCTCTGCCTTCCCTGTCAGGCTTCCGCCCTGCGCCTCTGCCTTTGAAATGTAGCAAGAGCCCTAAGCAGCTCTATTTACATTTCAAAGGCAGAGGCACAGTGGGAATAGTGAGCCCCTCTCCCCCCACTTATCAAGTAGTTGATGGAAATTCCATCAACTACTAGATTAGCTGATTAATTGAAATTTAACTCTAGTAGACAATCTATTAGAACCTACAGAAACAACCAGAAAACAGCTATAAAGTTGAAGTAGACAATGTCACTTATAGCTATACAGCCTCTCTCTGACTTACGAACCGGTTACGGACCAAGCAATTGGTCTTAACTCAGTTTGTTCATAAGTCGGACCCCAATGAGTTACACGTGACCACGCTGTTCGTAAGCATGGATCGTGTTCGTAACTCTGAGTCTGCCATTTACGACAGTTTTGGTCGTAACTGCGAATGGTCGTAAGTCGACCATTTGCAACTCGGGGACCGGCTGTATATAAAGCAACATACTTTATACTTTCTCCAATGACCATAAAATGCCTTACTAACCAATTGCATAATACTTTAGTAGGACAGATTAATATCACACCAATTTTATTTGAAAAGGTAAGTTGAGGCAGAAAGAAATTAAAACCATTTACTCAAGATTACAGCAAGCTGCAAAATTCAGATGATATTCCAGGAGCATATTTCAAATCCACTATTATGATCACTAGAAAAATAGTGGTTCGCATAACAGATCAGAACAATGGTCCATTTAGTTCAATAATCTACGGCTATCAGCAACTAGTACCAGGTATTTCAAATAAAGGCCTTCTATTTTTATTCTGTATAATGCAACTCTGGATTTTTCTCAATAACCACATACAATATTTATCTTTTTTTTTTTAAACTTGTTATGTTTGAGCCTCAGTGATATCTTGTGGCAATGAGTTCCACAGATTATCTAAAAACAATCCTTTTTATTAGTTTTAAATGTGCTGCCTTTCAGAGTTTTTTTTTTTAAATATCACCTAATGCTTTACACATGAAATAGCAACCCATATACCTTTTTCTTCATTCTGTATGTCAGTGTGGACTCTGATATCATCGTGTCTTTGACGGGACACCACAGCTGAATTTGAGGGTTGTAATCCATAGGAGGCAGAACTGCCCCGGTCTCTGGATGCAGAGTATTTTAAATTGTCTTGTTCAGCTGATGCACTGTCAGGTCTACAAAAAGAAAATTATTTTCATCTGTAAGAGTATACTAATAGATGGGTTCACATTTATGAATACAAGTCGCATTTAAAAACAATTCAATAGTGAATGAGGTTATACTGTATACTCTAGCTACTTTTAGAAGAAGCAAGCACCTTAAAGTTATGCCTTGAATCAGAACTGAGTAACCACAGTAACAGAACACAAAGGTAATGTGTTCTATTGTGTCAATACCCTGCTGCGGGACATATCTGGTCAAGTACTCAGAATTGGCTGGACTGTATGATTGAATGGAACGTTAAAGCTCAATTTGGCTTTTAGCAAGAAAAAAAGGATGGACAAAGAGAAAAATCAGGTAGAGCATATGCTCTTAACTGTAAAGAAACTTAAAAACTGCTCCAAAATAATTCCTCTCTGTAAGTAGTATTGTTTGTGATGAGCTGCTTATTACCCAGATGAGATTTAAAGGAAAAGTGACCGTGGGAGAATTAAAGCTGCAAAGTAAGAGTTCTCATCCATTTTAAGGGTCAGGAAGTTACAAATGACGTCAGACAATTCCTTTGCAATATGACATTTAAAAAAAAACAAATCATAATAAAACTATCACACTGATGTGTTTCAAAATAATTATGCAATATGAATTGTACTGAATAGTTTCAGTCAACAATAAAACTCTCTCAAGTATAGTGCAGAAGTATAGCAAGCAGCAAATTTAATATTAGAAACCATTTAGAGTACATAAGGTACCTATATAGCAAGAAACTGGGAAAGATTATAAAGGTGCACTACTGTCATTAAGTTTGTTGGGTATACAGGCAGTCCCCGGGTTACGTACAAGATAGGGACTGTAGGTTTGTTCTTAAGTTGAATCTGTATGTAAGTCGGAACTGGCGTCAGCCGCTGCTGAAACTGATCAGTTTCAACCGCGGCTGAATCTGGACGCCAGTTCTGACTTACATACGGATTCAACTTAAGAAACCCAGGCATCCCCAAGTCAGCTGCTGCTGAAACTGATCAGCAGCTGATTCCAGGAAGCCTGGGGCAGAATTCAAACTACTGGTCAGTTTCAGCAGCGGCTGACTTGGGGACGCCTGGGGCAGAGCAGCTGGGGTGCTGCTGGGTTGCTCCAGTAGCGTGGCTCCTCGGCGCTACTGGAGCAACCCGGCAGCCACCAGCTGCTCTACCCCAGGGGTAGGCAAGAAAAGCCTGGTCTGCTGGGGGGGGGGGGGCACTAGCCCCCCCCCCCCCCTCTTCAGGAGACCAGGGAGACGGGGGTGGCGGCCCAAGTCCTCCACGGCTTTGCTCCGTCTCCCTGGTCTGCTGACCTGGGAGACGCGGAGCAAAGCCGCAGAGCACGCGGGCAGTGGGACAAAGGCTGCGGGCAGTGGGACTGTCCCACTGCGGGCGTGCTCCAAGGCTTTGCTCCCCGTCTCCC